GCGCACGCTGGCTGCAGCGGTGCTGGTGGGGAGCCGGCGCCCGCGCGTGCACACGTGTGTCTCTGTGCATGTGTGCGCGTCTGTGGCGCGTGTACGTGTCTGAGGGTGCAGGGTTTCTGCATGCACCGTGTACATGCATGTGCCTATCACACACGTGTGCACGCGTGTGCGACGGCACCCACGTGTGTATGTGCACGTGCATGTGCACGTGGTTCCCGCTCGCGGGACCGTCCTGGGTGCTCGTCCTGCCCCTGTGTTCCTGGGCCCTTGACGAGACACTTGTTACCCGGGAGAAGCCCTTCACCTGCCAAAGCCACGCGGGGCTCCTGGCCTTGTGGCCTTCGCCCCGTGGCCGCCCCCTGGCCACGTGCTGCTGGTGGCGGGGTGTCCGGGCAGGCCGTGGGCCCGCGGGGGTGTGGTGTCCAGGGTCTCCTGTGGCGTGGCTCTCGGCACCGCCTAGCTCATGGTGCCCCTGCTCCCTGACTTTGTGGAATCGGCCACCATAGGGGTGCCAGCTCTCGCCCCTCGGGGGCTTCCTTCAGGCCGGGGTGTGGACGTGGCTGCCCCGTCCACTGTGCTGCTGGCACTCCGGCCTCTGTCCCCGGTGGGCTCCTGGGAGCCCGGGTCACCGGGCCGTGGGCTGTAGAGGCCCCACCCAAGCCCGATTGGGCCTTCAGAGGGTGCCCGGGCCTGGCCTGGGGCCCATCAGCTGTGCCAGGGGCCCAGGTACCACCTTGGCCGTGGAGGTGGGAGGCCTGTCCCTGCAGGACCGTTGCCCGAGCAGGACCCCAGGAGGGACTTGTAGGGGGTGGCAAGATTGGCAGAGAAACCCCATGCTAGCGGGGCGCGGCCTCCCTGGGGCCGCAGCGGGTTGGAGCGCAGCACTGTGAAGCTGTCCGCAGCTGCCCCAGCCGGAGGGTGACCCCTAAGGCACCGCAGGCTCCTGCCTGCCTGCCTGCCTGCTGCCCCCCAGCAGTGGGTTTCAGGCATTCAGCTCTTCTTCCTACTCTGTTTCTGGGGAGTCCCGCCACCCTCGCACCTCTGGCCTGTACCCCAGTTCTTGTGTGCATAAGCAGATCTTAATAAGTAAAGGTGGGCCGGCTCGTGCCATCAGGGCCACCTGTCCCCCCTTCTGGGCAGCGCCCCACGGGCTGTGTGGTCATGGGCCCAGCGCTGGGGGCCCCGGCGGTGCCCTGGTCTCAGCCTGACACCCGTGTTGCCGGCATCAGCACACGTGGGCGACTTCCTGGGCCCGGCCTTGGGCAGAGGGACGGGACATGCGGGACGGTCCCTGCTGTCCGCCTGAGGGCACAGGGGGCCCAAGCTGTGGCGCTGTAGGGCAGAGGCGGTGGCCCGGCGGCGTGGCTGTTGCCGGGTGCTGCCGCTCAGCCCAGGCAGTTTCTGGGTGTGGTGAGCCCCCCTTACTGGGGTGTGAGGGCCGTCGGGCCCCGAGTCCCTGGGCAGTGGCTCCGGGCCTGTGGGAAGCGAGGGTGCCCGGCGCTGAGGGCCCGGGCCCGGGGGGCACCTCCTCCTCTTCCCTTGGGGGTGCACGAGTGAGGTCCCCAAGGAGGCGTTTCTGCTCTTCGGGAAGAATCTGGTTTCCGGTTTGAACAAGAGGCGGGAGTCCCCTCTGCAGAGGCGAGTGCAGTGCCCCGAGGCTGCCCAAGGGCCAGACCTGGGGCCTCAGTTTCGCGGGGCCGCTGGCAGCGTTAGCATGCTCGTGCTGAGCCCC